GGAAAAATAATAATTTATAAAATTTATAAAAGACTATTCGTTCAACCATAGAAAAATCAGTCACGTGCGTAATAACTTCGTTGATTTTTCCTTCGATTATAATTGGTAACATAGTGCTATCTGCTCCCTTGCTGTATAACCAGTAATCTCCAGCTGAGTCTTTTACCAATACTGACATTCTCTTACGTTCTACCGAAAAATTCATCATAATTTTTATAATCTACAATTCTTAAGAGTTCGATGAATCTTTGAACTTACTAACCGGAAGTAAATTCTAGAATTTCAAGCATTTTATAAGTCAAAATTTTATTTTGGATTTTTAATTCTATCATATCATTTTTTTTTGATTCAAAAATGACTCCGCATCTGGCACTGGCTTCAACCAAAGCTTTTTCGTCTGCCGATGTTGCCTACCGCATAGTAATCAGATAATAATATTTTTAAATGTTCTATTCACAATCAAATTAGTTATTACTTTAATTAATAAATAATTCTATTCACAATCAAATTAGTTATTAATTTAAGTAAAATATTTTTGTTTAGCTTCGTCAGCTTTTTTGTTTCGTCACGTTATTTTAACACAGTTTGTCATGTAAATTCATTTCCAACTTTTATTTATCAATCATCAGGGATAAAAATATATGATGAAATTAATATAAAGATTTATATCCATGCAAAAGACTATTTTTACCTGATACTCTGGTAAATCCGGATGCATCAAGAGAGAACTATCTACATGAAGGATTTTCTTTTGCCTGAAACTTTCGCGAAATTCTTTACGTTTTAGGATGGCACTGGCTTTTTGACTTGGGGGTGAAATTTGAACTGTATGGCATAGAGCGATGCTTATCATAAAATGCCAATGTTCTGGCTGGAATTTAATCGAAAATTATATCAAGTAATATCTTAAAAATACTCACATGATCACATTTAATTAGAAATGCAATCCTACCTCCCAAGTTTTTAATTCAACTGCCTGATTTTCATCTCCATTGGGAGGTAACAGATACAATTTGCCATCGCAATCTTTTTCCATATACATTTTTCCATTGATCGAACAACGCCTAAATACCATCATATTTTCGGTGAGTGTACCAGTCTTATCTGCAAACAAGTATTCGATTTGGCCAAGCTCTTCGTTTAGATTCAACGTGTGAATTAATGCTGGTTGATCCGTGTCTTCGTCATACATGTCAACGTCCCAGCTGAAGAAAAATGAACCGAAGAATTTTTGTAATTCTATAAAAAAAACAATTAATTATTCGAAGCTCGTCAATTATTTCTATTTCAGTTAATCAATAATTGATTTTCACCCTGATATTAATCTTAATTTTTATATTTTTAATTTTAATAATTTCTAATTATGATAGCTAAATATAAAACAAACTAAAAAGAAAAATAGTAAAAATAGTTTTTACCTATGCTAACGTATAATGATATCGGCACAATATAATTGTAAAGGATAAGAAAGCTTAAAAAATCCGTAACCAATTGGGAAAAAGTAAAGGGTTGAATGTCATTCAGATATGATGACCATGACTCTGACCATGATTCCTCTATTATGGCTTTCATTGTACAAGATTCTATTACTTCAAATAGTAATATGATGAGGAAACAGACGATATATTTATTATTGGATCTGTAAATAATAAATTACGGTTGAATTCATATATTTATAAGAAAAATGTAATAGAGTATTACATTATAGAGACATGTTTCTCTAATAATAAGATAAAAATAATAATATGGAATTATACATGATAAGGCAAGATATTAGATTCAGGTGATCTCCATACATCATAATAAACTATAGACTATATAATACATCAGTTTTTTATTTCATTTTGAAAATTGAAAAATCAATATATCATTCTTATTTATAATTTCTATTTTAAAAAATCCATTAAAATCTAATAAATACAATATTATGCTTTATAAATTATTTTTAGAGTGTTGCAATTTATTATCTAATATCAAAAAATGTAAATAATAAATATAAAATGTAAATAATAAATAAATAATAAATCCTTTGAATTATTAAAATATGAATACTTATATCATCTTTAAGAAATTATTTTTTCATCTTATGAGAACTAAATAATTATAAAGAAAAAATAGTTTTTTTTTATAATTATAATCATTTAATAATTTTTTTATAATTATAATCATTTAAAATTTTAATATTTAAAATTTTGTTTAGTCTTTAATTTTACTTTGGCATAAAAAATATATTAGAGGTTCAGCTTTACCCCATTTTCTTATTTTTCCTAATTTTCACTTTATATGAAAATATTATATTCGAGATTATTTACTTTTCAGACGTGGACATTTTTTTACTTCTTATCTTTGAATTGAGAGACAATTTTGTATCGTGACCAGTATAAATCGCACAACCGATAATATAATCCGTATCTTTCAATCTAGATCCACGAAGCAGTAAATTATTGATTGTTAGATATCCACTTCTGATCGTTTCATTGTTTTCATCTTTAATTTCCATTTTGCCATGGAAAGAATAAAGATTCGATGAAGGATGTTGACAAGTGACAATGGCATTTAACGATATTATTTCTTGCATCGACATATTTGAGAGTACTTTTGGAATCATCACAGTCTATGAATGATTTAATGTCTATTATTAATACAGCAAACTCAAAATTTTATTATTGAATTAATCAGATTCATTATTTGATTTGATTAAAAAAGAATTACCTTTAAATTGGTTTCACCATCAAGATTTGATGTGGTAATGTAACAGCATTCCATTTCTTCTGTGCTATAGAGAAGCAAAAGATCGCAAGGGATATCTTCCTCGCGATATATCTTCACTAAGTCACCGACTACTATATTTTCACGGTAAATGTTCTGAAAATGTAGAATGGAGAATATGATGAATATTTTGATGCATTTCAATCGAAGCTGACAATATAATTGATTTTTATCTTCTTTGTCTCTCACTTTTATATAATTATATTATTTCCTAGAAAAGTAAAAATTATAATAATTTTTTAACAACGATAGCGCAGAAAATAAATTTGAAATATAAATGTGTGTATATATCGCTACCGTCTTTGATAATTTATTAATGATGATAATTAGATAATTAGAACATGCTTTGCATTATAAATCATAAATGTTAAACATAAGCGTCGAAAAAACTAAGGAAAAGAAATATATTAGAAAAAATATGTTGACGTCGATTAAAATTAGTTAATTTTAGATATAATTATATAATTGCTACTTACCTGTACACATTTGTTGCGTATGACAGTGATGAATGTCCGATTCTCTCGTTTGTCATTAATATAACGATTATAATCCTCGAAGCCTTGCTTGCACGCGGTTACTAGTATGACAATAGTTAGGGGAAGAATGCTGGTTATAGGAGAGATAGGGGACTTTATCGATACAGATGTTATCGCCATTGTAAGAAAATAAAAATTTGCTAGTTGTCTAAATTGTTCAAAGAGATTTTTTGGTATAAAGTTCCACATTGTGTACTGAAAATGAAGTGATCCAAATTATATCAAATCACAAGGATGAATTAAATTTTAATTTAAAATATGTAATTAAAAAACACTTACTTTTTTAGAGACAATATGATTATCTGGAAAAATTGTTTGTTCCGGCTTGCTATCCGGACTGATGTTTATTACCCTGTGATCAACAATTAATGGTGGTGTATCCTATATACAGATATTTTAATTAGAAAACAGATATATATAAGATTATAATATATATAAAATTTGTTGCTCAATTTGCAAACTTGCTTGTACAAATAATATCACATGGGAAGTGGAATATTGAGTTTTCAAAAAAGCTGGTACACGTAACAGTTTTCGCGATTTGAACCAATTTTTGCGAATAAACTGCCATAATCTAATACCAAACGATTGTATATCCATTTGAATATCTATATAAGGTATGTTAATTAAATCATCATAGGGTTGTGTAACATGTTGCATCATGTCATCACATCTTATTAATTCTTGTAATATTTCAAATCTTGTAATTCCGAATCACTGAACTTTATTTTAAACATTTTTGCACAAAAATACCAACAAGAACTTTGATGTTTAACTATATCGCAAGAAACGTGAGAAGTTGCATTTATATCAATCGATTCAGTTGTTTCAATTATTATTTCTCGTACAATCGTTATAGAAAATTAATCTAATTAAAAAATTTAAATAATAAGATTGTCATTTATTATTTCCATTCATCTTCATTCAAGGATGATAATTTCGACAACTAATTTTCTATATTTATTTCATTTTATTTTAAATTACTTTGATAAAAGTAAAATATAAAATTTCAATATCGAAAATTGATATGAAAGAACTTTAATGAACAACTTCATGAAAGAAATTAAAAAATATTAGAAACTGATACTGATACCACAACCTTTGAAATAGTCAAGTGTCACAATGACTCCCAGTACACTTGCAGTTTAGCAAGTTTGGCTTATTAAATTCGAAATTTCAAGAACAATAGTGAATATACCTAATACTTTTACGGTGAATAATAACAAATGGAGATATGTATGCTAATAGACAATCTTATTATTGTATACGGCCTTTCGTTATACATATCCCACGAAAGTTCAATTGCTTCAACAAGAAAATACTACTCAAACGTCTTTCCTTCACAACGTTCTATCCACAAAACTATGTCGTGCGTTTCAAGCACGACAATCAAAAAGGTAAAAACGATAGATTCGATCATGTGTTGAACATGGACAATATTCAGTATTTGGAATATATGTATCAATCATGGAAGAAGGATCCAAGTTCTGTGAGTGCTTCCTGGGATAGATATTTTAAATTAATTGACGAGAAAGATAAAAAATCGGATGCAGCTTCCCACAAATCATCGCCAAAATCGACTTCTTCATCCTCTATCCACGTTCGATCACCACCATCTAGTTCACAGTCAGGTATGAATTTTCTTCTAAATTTTTAATACTTTTATTTAAAGGAAAAATACATATCTAGAAAAATATACTTTACTTGTAAAACAACAGCAAAATTTCCTCAACAAAGTGCAAGATCGAAGTCAAACGGTGATATGCAAGGTGATAGGTATATAATTGGAGCTTTCGATATCAATGCCACGATTCGAGCTTATCAAGTATCCGTCAATCAGGCTCTTAGCTTACATTAATAAATCCATTCGAATAGACCATTATAATTGGTCTATTTCTATTCTATATTGGTTTCAGGCACGTGGTCATTTGATTGCCGATACTGATCCGTTAGGCATACAAAATCCAGAATCGCGTAAGCTTCAAGGCACTCCTAATTTACCACCTGCGATCGTGGTGCGACAACATTTGAAGGGAATGACTGAAGCTGATATGAATAGAGAATTTCCTCTTGCACCATTTACCGTAATTGGTGGTCCTAAACGAAGTCTTCCTTTGCGTGATATTCTAATTAGATTGAACCAAGTTTATTGCGGGCATTTGGGTCTTGAATATACCTACATTCATGATCTTGTTATGGTAGATATTTTTAGTTTAAGAAAATAAGATAACATGTTATCTCTATTGATGTTGTCGTTAAGATAAGAATAATATTACATTGAATTAATTTCGTCAAATTATTTCTAGTTAGATTGGTTAAGAGATAAGTTTGAAATACCTGGCGCTTGGGATCTTCCAGAGGATCATAGAAAATTTATTTGGATGAATATTATGAAGGCAGTAACATTCGAAGGATTTTTAGCAAGAAAATTTCCCACTGAAAAAAGATTTGGTTTGGAAGGTTGCGAATCTTTTATACCGTCAATGAATCAGTGCTTGGAAACATCAGCGGAACATGGTAAGGAAAAATTATTATGATTCTTATCGTGTAAAAGATATAAAATAAATGATGTTTTAGGAGTTGAAAGTGTTGTGATAGGAATGGCTCATCGAGGTCGATTAAACACATTGATCAACGTTTGTATGAAACCATTACATCAACTTCTTACACAATTTCATTCGATTGCTTTAGAAGGTTTTGGTTCTGGTGATGTGAAGTACCATTTAGGAACACATGCGGAAAGAATGTTAGAAAGGTGATTATATGATAATATGGATAAATTATGTAGTTGATGAAATTATAAAATTATTTAGCTGAAATTTCTAATAGAAGTAAGAAAAAGATTCGTGTTGCTATGATGGCTAATCCGTCTCACTTGGAGGCGATAGATCCTGTCGTAGTTGGTCGCGTTCGAGCCGAACAAGTAGAAAAGAATGATGCCGAATGTATGTATATAAAATTGAAATTCATTGATCAAGATGTTTTTGTAATTAAAAATTCAATATACCAGTTGGCAAAAAATCAATGGCTTTTTTGGTTCATGGTGACGCTGCTTTCTCGGGTCAAGGTATTGTTTACGAAACGATGCATTTGACTAATTTGCCGAATTACACGACAGGTGGCGTTATTCACATTGTAATCAACAATCAAGTAATGATATTCATTTGTCACTTTCATAAATGAAATCTTTTCTATAATCGACTAATTGTTTTAACAATATTAATGAATTTATAGATTGGTTTCACTACGGATCCTAGATATTCTCGATCAAGTGCGCATTGTACAGATGTAGCGCGTGTTGTAAACGCCCCGATATTTCATATACATGCTGATGATCCTGATTTAGTGACCTATTGTAGTAAAGTTGCCAGCGAATACAGGTATGCAACGTATACCTTTTTCGCACTAGGATGAAAAATATAATAAAATATTATTTAACTATACAAATTAATATATTATAGAGCCGAATTTCACAATGATGTTGTTCTGGACATCGTGGGATATCGAAGATTCGGACACAATGAATTAGATGAGCCTATGCTTACGCAACCTTTGATGTATAAACGTATTAAGCAACATCCGAATGTGCTTAATATTTACAGCGATAAATTGTTCAAAGAAGGAGTGATTACTGAAGCATTTGCCAAAGAAGTAGATACAATTATAATTATTGTTTCATATTTTGATAAATTTCTAATCATAATATATATAATAGGAAATTGAAAAATATTGGAACTATTGCGAAACAGAATTCGAAAAGGCAAAAACAATAGATTCGATGCAATTGGGTGATTGGCATGATATACCTTGGAACGATTTCTTTGCTACTCAAAGTCCCAAAAATAAAATTCCATCGACTGGTATCGACATAGAAACTATAAAGACAATTTGTAAAGCGATATCAACTCCTCCTAATGACATTGAATCCCATACTCAGGTATTAAAATATAATTTTTCATTTTTATCATTGAATATCAATACTGATAATCTTATCAGAGCGTATTTAGAAAATGCTTGACGAAGATAAACTTTATATTCTTTAGAATGATGATGAAATAATTTCATTCATTTTTAAAACTTTAAAAATGTTTAATTTATTTAATATAGGTATTAAGAGTAATGGAAAAAAGAGCGCAATTGAGTAAATCTCGTCAGGTAGATTGGGCTATGGGTGAATGCTTAGCATTTAGTAGTTTATTAAAAGAAGGTTGCCCCGTGAGATTATCCGGTGAAGATGTTGAGCGAGGCACCTTTTCTCATCGCACACATGTTATTCACGATCAGAGTAGAGATAAAACGTATAAAAATATTTTGCATGATATATTTCCGGGACAAGCAATGTATACTGTCACTAATTCTTCATTATCGGAATATGGCGTTTGCGGTGAGTCTTTTAGACAATTGAATTGAAAAAAAAAAAGAAAATTGTCGATAAACTATAATCGATTGTAAATATAGGATTCGAGTTGGGTTATTCGACATATAACCATAACACATTAACAATTTGGGAAGCCCAGTTTGGTGATTTTGCGAATACTTGTCAGGTGAATCTTTTCAAAAATTAATTAAAAATCAATACCGTGTCTCATATAATCAAGAATGTTACCATACATTGTTATTGCACGTTATTTGATATATAATATAGATTTGATTTGATACTTCTATTATAGATTGTTACAAAGTTAGTAATTATTAGTATTATAAAGTATATATATATATATATATATATAGATATTATAATTTACAAATATTAAAATTATTTATGACAAATAATCTTGACAATGAATTATCACAATGAAATAACAATAACAATTAAAAATATTAATAATAAAAATTGTTCAGGTCACTTTAGATACTATTTTGTGTTCCGGACAAACGAAATGGGGTAGACAGGTAGGATTAGTTCTTCTTTTGCCCCACGGATTAGAAGGACAGGGACCTGAACATTCTTCCGCAAAAATTGAACGATATCTCGAGCTTTGTGACGATGATTTCTCTTATCTTCCGATGGCCGAACCAGGAGAAACTATAGATCAAATTATGACACGGCAATTGTTCGAAATAAATTGGATTATTTGCAATTTAACGACGCCTGCAAATTTCTTTCATGTCCTTCGTCGTCAAATTCATATGCCTTTTCGGAAACCATTAGTTAGTGAACATTTTATTATATCTACTTTCTTTTTATTGTTAAAGGTAAAACCAGGTATAACTATTTATCTATCCAACCAGTGTGTAATGACACCCAAATCTTTGCTTCGTCATCCTATGGCTCTTTCGCCTTTCGCTGATATGGAGTCTGGCACTTCATTTAAACCTATTCTCTCTGATCCATTTGTCAAACCAGGAAATATACAAAAAGTATTGATGTGTAGTGGAAAAGTATTTTATGATTTAGTGACCGAACGTCAGGGGAAACAATTGGTAGATAAAATAGCGATTATTCGCATCGAACAACTTTGTCCATTTCCGTATCATTTATTAGCTGAAGAAATGAAAAAATATCCGAATGCTAAAGTAAATTAATCTTTTAAATAAATTTAACTTCTTAAATCAATGTTAAAACAAATGTCTCGTGCGTTTAGCTTATGTGGTTACAAGAAGAACATAAAAATCAAGGCCCGTATTTGTACGTGAGAGACAGAATAGCATTAGCTTTAGGAATACGTTTAGAAGATTTGGCTTATGGAGGTAGACCACCATCATCTTCTCCAGCAACTGGCAGCAAAGTTATTCACAGAAACGAATACAACGATATGATAACGATGGCTTTGAAACTTGATTGAATCAGAATTAATCGAATGTCAAATAAAAGATACGACATTCGTAGAGATATATAAAAAATAAAACAGGAAGTGTAAGATATTCAGATAAAAATCCGAATGAGTGAGTAAACTATGAACAAATGAAATAAAAATGAATACACGATATTTAATTATACAATGAATTTTTCTTTGAATTTTATTTTTGATCGTATAACTCGAATACTCCAAATATCAAGTATCACCGAACGAATATTAATTCACACTTACCAAAAAACATAAATATCTGTAGGATTTTTTTTTGTAATATGAAGAAATCCGTTCGTCAAAGTAATTCCACATTATAATTCTCTTTTTTTCCTTTTTTCAGTATGTGATTATTCTGCTTCACGATTAGCGATCACGATATTTTAAGTGAGGCATTTTAATATGACACGTACTCACATATCTAAACTTGAGAATTGTCTAGGGGAATAGTGCTAATTGTTAGCACTATATATACCGCAAAATGTATCGAGATTGTTAGTAAACTTTATCATATTTTTTATACAGTTGTGATATTTTTTTTAGTGATAAAATTTTATTGTCCATAATAATTTGTAACATAATATTGTATACATAGTTTTAAACTTATAATTAATAAATATTTATTACAATATTTATTTTTCTGTCTGTTTATATAAAATGCATTTTCATGTTATATAATAATGTTATATAATAATACAAATACAATATGTACCATAATTGATATTTCAATTATAAAATAACATTAAAATGGATTTATTTATCCTAAATACAAAAAGAATCTAATTATTTCGTCCAAATATCAATTTCATTGATATTTTATTAATTTTACACAAAAAGTGGTTAAATGTAAGCGATCGTGAATATTTTATCCTGAGTAAGATATTAAATTTTTTTTTCATATTTGATAATATTTATTATAACTTTTAAATAAATAATTTTAATTTTGTCGATATTATGATAACAAATATAAACTAAAATTTTAGATATTTTTACATAATTTTAGAAAATTTTTGATAAAAATGTAATTTGTTTCAAGATCTAGTTCTTATTGTAACATTGACATTATTTTATAAAAGAAAAAATTATAATTATTTTATAAAGGAAATTTATTTGTTTGTATTATTTGCATAATATAAAAATATCGTCTTACCATTTTGTCGAGATTTGAAATCTTGATATTGCAGAAACTGTTTTTTTTTTCAATTTGAGTCAAATATTTTTTTTATTTAAATATTTATTTCAACTACAATCATCATCAGTTCATAGACATTTAAATTTCATAACATATAAAAATTATCTTTCATGAATTATTTATATATTTATATAATATTTTAACCATATTTAATAGAAATTTTTTTAATTTATTTAAATTTATTTAATAGAAATTTATTTAATAGAAAAAATTTAGATCGATTTTATATATATATTTTGCACATTTCAAAAAATAATATCAAAAATAATTTTTGAAATAAATATTTATATTTAATTATATTTATATTTAGTACTAATTGCAATGTTTGCCGAATCAAAGATGACAATGTTCAACGTTTACTATCTTCTATTTATCCGAATTAATTTTAATAACAATTCACTAAACATATATAGAAATTAATTGAGCAATTCACTAGCTGCTTATAAAAGACTAAAAAAAAATGATAAATGTTCTGTCGTGATATAAAAATTTATCATCGATTACCACTGATAATCATTACCAATACATTGTTAGATTTATCAGAAAAGATAAAAATTTTCGAATAAGTTTTATCTAACATATTTTTGTCTCAAAATTAATTAATCAATACTTGCAATTTCATTTAGAATATAATTTATAATTTATTATAATTTATTATGAAACATATTATAATTTATTATAATTTATTATGAAACATAATTAATATAATATAAATGTGATTAAAAATTAAACTTACAAATAAGTGGATATAGATTAATTGTTCGTTTATTTATATTTTATTGTGTTAAACTATGTCTTTATTTTTTTATAGTTCTTAAATTTTTTATAATTCTTAAATATAATTAATAAAAAATATTTACAAATATTCTTTAGTATTTTATGATGAAAAAGAGTATTTTATTATGTCCAATTTCGCTAATTTTTTGTTATTATAGCATTTATTTATTAAAAATTAAATTAAATTTATTTATTTCCTGTAATATTTTTTTATAATATATTGAAAAATATTAAATAAGATAAACAATTGAAAGTAAAAAGGCGCCACAAAATAGATGCGTATGTAATTCGAATCGAATTTCGCGCGGTAGAGTGCGCTGCTCTCTCTTTTCTTAAAAGATGGCACTCGCAATCGAGTTAAAAGAAGCGATGCGCAGAACGCTTGACGCGGGCAGTTGAGCACTTAGTATGGTGGTGTTCGGTGCGTGTGACGTTTTATTGCGTTGCGTAATCGGTTAAAAAGAGCAAGCGAGACGGAGGAAAGCATCAAATCGTAGAGGCGAATTCAGCCGTGCCTCGCGCTACCGTAAACGCAACAACACTGCCCGCCCCGGATCAAGAGATATGCCGCAGAGTGGAGGCGAATATTGCTAGCGCTGTGAAGGATGCGACTGGATTTTCCGCTGACGGATCGATAACGAAGAACGAGCAGCTTAACACGGGAAAAATGTCGGCAATGAAGTCTAGTGGTTCACCGGGAACCGCTCGTGTTTTGCCCGTGCTGAGCCACTTCAAATACGAACATTTCATCGCTGGTATATCTGGTGGCGTGGTTTCCACTTTGATGCTGCATCCGTTGGACTTGATCAAGACTAGATTCGCAGGTAAGCGATTCGAGTGTGTCATTGCTGACGACATAACGGTTGTAGATGCAAATGGCCGGTACAAGTTCGATTTATTCGATATATAAAGTACACGTGGTATTACGTTCTATATTTAATCTCTCTAGCATAGAAAATATTTCTTCTGTCTTTGATTTTTATCTATGATTCACGTATAAGAATTTTCTATTCATAATTAATATACGGAATACGAATATTTTGATAGTTTTTATAGAGAATCAACAATAGAAGAAACTTTGTAATAATAATATTGATATCATTTTCGAAACAAATGACGTACGCCATTTGTCGCAATAGTTCTGTTTCATTTTTAACTTTTCGTTGGGAAAATTGAATGAAAATCTAGATGTCAGGTTGAACATTGAAAAAATAATTAAATTTAAATAATTTGTCCTTGTTTATATATCATATATAAATTTTTTGAAATAATATGTATAATTTATATTAATTAATATATAATGTAATAATATAATGTGTTTAATAACGTATACATATTTGTTAACATATCAAGATCGTAGTAAAATATGTAGTTAGTTGAAATAAAACCGAAAAAACAATATTGTTTTCGGTCGATGCTCCTATTATTTCGACCGACAAGGTCGAGCATATAAAAGCACGTGGCATTATCGAGAAATATCGAGATATTTTTGACCGGCTTCGGGATATGCGATGACTATTCACTTTGTTCCTTTGTGATATATATCATTGTAAATATGTAAATTGTGTATGCTCAATGCTTCAGAAAATAATATTTAAAATAATATTTCGGTATTGATTTTTGTCATTTGCTTTTAAGTAAAACTTTATATTTTATCTTTCAATTATGTATTGACAATTGATGACAAATTGTGTGGATTTACACTATTTATATCTATCTCATTTAGATTTATTTACATAATTTTACTATATAAGACTTCCTTAAGGCGTTTTCTCATTAATAGGTTATAGTTTTTTAAAAAGATGAATTCTAATAAATTCAAATGGACAAATTTTCAAGAATGACATGATAATTTCTATTGAAATTATTTAATAATTATTGAATGTTAATTAAGAATATAAAGTGTAAATAAAAATAATAATTTATATAATATTTTTAAATGAAATACATGAAATTTAAAATATAAAACAATCTTGAAATAAGCAAATCATTTCATTATGTTTCGAAACGAAATGGAAAGTTATGATCAACTTTCGATCACATTTAGAAGTGGAAAGTAGCATTCCTGTGGTTATGTTACTAAATAGAACATTTTTTATATATATATCATTTTCATCTTATTTTATTAATATTTTTTTTTGATCAAAAATAAATTTTTTGATTTTTATTTTTTTTCAAATATAAAAGGAAATTGAAAATTTTAATAAATTTTTAAGGAGATTTTTTCTATTATTTGATATTAAAAATTATGATTAATAATTCAATTCTAAGTACTCTATTCATATACATAAATAAATGTGAATGCAATGCTCAAATTACTTAAAGATTACTCAGAATTGACCAGGTTATCGCTAATGTTATTCAATACAATTTGATACCACAGTGTCTGCGGTTTCATATTGTTCTTTTTCTTTGTATATTAATGCATTCTAATGAACTCGATCTAAAGATAATATTTATTACATATTGTCTATTAATATTTATTTTATGTCATCAATTAATTTGTAATTATGAATATATATTTGAAATATATATATATATATATATATATATATATATGTATATATATTTTGAAATATATATTTTTTATCTCAAAAATAATTAATAACTGCTTAACTACACGAGAAATCATTAAAATTGAATTTAAAAACAAAACCTATTCATTAGCTTTTTATGTCATTATCAAAAAAGTCAATGATGGTGTCATCAAGAAGCTTGCTCTTTGCTGTATTTTCGTCGTAAAATTCGTTGGCTATATACCAAACAGTAAGAAATTCTGCGGATTGCATCAGAAACACGTGAGTTCAAACGATTACATTTTGCGATTAAAATTTTGACTCGTGCAGTAAATTTATTCAAATTGATTTACGATAATTACACTACTATATAATTATTTTGTCTGAAATTATTTTCATGGTATAATTCAACAATTTTATTATTTATAATTTATATTTCTTATTCATAAAGAAAACATTTTTAATAATTTCAATCTATTTATATTATGCAATATAATTTTCATATTTGATCATTTCACATTTGTAAACATGAGTCATTTATGTTCATTATATTCATTATATTATATTTTCAATGATGAAGTTTTTAAAAAATCTGAAAAAATTTATATGAGAAATTTGTAGAAAAATTCTTAATTTATTAAGTACCGAAACTTTTAATAGAAATTGTCTTTTTTCATAAGTTTATGTACATTATTATCATAAAATATCGATTCATTAATGATGGTAATAATATGATGATGATTTTATAATAGGAAAGTCAATAAATTTGTCACTTATTATTTTTTAAGAAATTTATAGTTTTCAAACTGATCCACGACAAAAATATTTATATTTATGAAA